TCGGCTAAGGCGGCCGTACATCGGCTAGATTATTCTTGGCAGACAATACTTTTGAAAGGCACCTCCGTACAGAGAAACCCCTTATGAACACGTACATGCCAAGACTCCCGAAATCCGGGAAGTATCTCGGAGTCCGCGAGCCGATGCTTATTAGAGTTTATGCGGAACGTTTTGTCGACACGCGCATGCCAAGATGTCCGAAATCCCGAAAACAACACGTTGTTCGCTCGTCCATGTTCACTGGGGCTGAGTCCTAGCCGCCGGGGTATTCAAACCGCACATATCTTGATTATATAACACCTGATTCTTTGTCCCTTACCCAAAAACATTTTTTAGCATTTTCCTCCCGAGCCAAACTAGTCCAGACCCTATTTATAACCACTGAATACGGTATCGCGATAAAACGCTGTTGGGAAACATACAATTGCCAACTCCCCTTAACACACACCAGCTGGCGAGCATTAGTATTCGAGGATATCGTTATCTAGGCTCCGATCGAAGTATTGGGCAACATGCTATCAAGTTCGCCCTTACAATCGATTCCTGGACCGAGTGGTATGTTCAATTGTCCTGCGCGTGTGAATTAGCACTAAGCGAAACACTAGGCCTACCGGTTATCGGTAATATCTTCGACATTGACTCAGAAGCTGGCTTGCAATCATTGGTTCAGTTAGGTAAAGAATATGGTAAGTATACTAAAAAACCGAATGGCCTCCATTACGCACGTAACTGAACAGACTTGTTTAGGACCAATTTTCCAAATGACCTTTGGGGGTCAAAAGCAGATATTCATCTGTGAAGCACAGCTTATGAATGAAGTGTGTGATGAAAGCCGATTCTGCAAGATTGTCACTGGCGGAGTAGAGTTGTTAAGATCGGGAGTACACGATGGTCTTTTCACAGCACATGAAGGCGAGAGAAACTGGGACGTCGCGCACAGAATCCTTATGCCAGTTTTTGGGCCAACCAAGATCAAGAATATGTTTGGCGAGATGACTGATGTGGCACAACAACTCTGTCTCAAATGGTACGAGGTAATTTGACTGATTTCATTCATCGCTGACAATGGGAAAGGAGTCGGTATGGCCCAAACTACCCTATCGAAGTGACCGATGATTTCACCCGTCTGACACTGGACACGATTGCTCTTTGCGGCTTCAGCCATCGATTCAACAGTTTCTACCGAGACACAATGCATCCCTTTATCGACAGCATGAACCATTTTTTGCACGACGCCGACAAGGCATCTGGGTTGCCTAAAATGTTCAACAGCCTACGGCTGAGCGCAAAAAAAAGGAGTAAACGGGACATAAAAGTGATGAGGGATCTCTGTCAAGAGTTGTTAGACCAGCGACGAAAGAATCCAACAAACTCGAATGATCTTTTGGACGCTCTTTTGAACCAAGCGGACCCGAAGACAGGAGAAAAATTAAACGATTCCTCCATTGTAGACAACATGATCACATTTCTGATCGCTGGCCATGAGACGACATCGGGCCTACTCTCGTTTGCATTTTATTACATGCTCAAAAATCCCTCATCACTAGCAAAAGCCGAGCAAGAGATTGATGAGGTCGTTGGGACAGAAAGGCTCACCGTTGATCATTTATCTCAGTTGAAGTATACGAACGCCATTCTTCGAGAAACAATCAGGATTATGCCAACTGCACCAGCGTTTTCAGTGTGTGCACTGAAAGACGAGGTAATAGGCGGCAGGTTCGCTGTCAAAAAGGGAGAGCCTCTCAACGTTCTCCTGCCATGTGTACATGTCGATAAAGCAGTTTATGGACCTGATGCAGATGAGTGGAAACCAGAGAGGATGCTGGATGATGAATTCAAAAAATTGCCCCCAAACTCGTGGAAGCCATTTGGAAACGGCAAACGAGGGTGTATTGGACGAGCCTTTGCTTGGCAGGAAGCATTACTGGTCAGTGTTGTCTATTACATCATCCCGTTGTTACATTATTGATTCTCCTCAGGTCATAGCGGCTTTGCTGCAAAATTTCTCTTTCACGATGGCTGATCCGTCTTATGAGCTTCGAATCAAGGAATCCTTAACCATTAAACCTGACGGATTCAAGATGTATACAACACTGAAACAATCCAGAACACCTCACACCTTCCTGAATGGATCTGAGCTCACACCAAAGCAAACCCACACTACGCAAGAAGGCAGAAAGGCAATCATGAAAAATTCAGTCCTTGGTCAAGGAAAGTACAAGTCCGTGTCTATATTCTATGGATCAAACAGTGGGACCTGCGAGGCTTTATCAAACGTGTTCGCGAACGATTGCGCAAAGGCTGGACTAGTAGTGCAACCGATACGGGCACTAGATTGTGCCAAGGAAGACTTTACCTCAAACGAGCTAGTTGTTATCATAACGGCAACATACGATGGCCGGCCTACGGATAACGCGACTGAATTCGTGGACTGGCTTACCTCTCTCACTGGAAAGCCGCTAGGAGGGGTATCGTATGCTGTTTTTGGATGCGGTATGTTTAGCTAAGAAAGAAAAGAAAGCGGTACTAACTTAGTTAGGACATCAAGATTGGCCAGCAACGTTGTATAAGATCCCCAATTTCATTGATGAAGTTCTAGAGCAGCGAGGTGCAAAGAGAATTGCACCTCGTGGAGCTGTCAACGTCGCCACTAGTGACCCTTTCTCGATGTTTGAGGAATGGGAAGAGGAGACGTTATGGCCTGCACTAGGTCTTTCCCTAGCGCCGCCAGAATCTTCTACATCATTGGAATCTGGGCTCAAGGTTTCCTTCCAGCAACCCTACACTCAACGCAAAGAGTTCAAAGAAGCTACTGTTACAAAACATTTTGAACTAAGCAGTCCCGCATCCTTGACCCGAAAATGCCACATCGAACTGCGACTGCCACAAGGCATGGTATATACAACTGGCGACTATTTGGCTGTTCTGCCTTTGAATCCCACCTTTAACGTACAGCGGGCCCTGGCTCGTTTCCATTTGGCTTGGGACAGCGTTCTCATGATCGAGTCGGCGGGACCCACCCAACTTCCTACAGCAATTCCAATATCCGCAGCAGACCTATTCGGTGCATACGTCGAGCTTTCATCACCCGCTTCATCAAGAGTAAGTACTGGCTCTAGTCACAATATTGCATATGAACGACTGGCTAATCGTATTTAGAACATTAAAAGACTGGCTGCTGCTGCGATCGACGAGTCGACGAAAGACTCATTGTTGAAATTGGCAAGCAAAGACTCCAGTAGATTGGGTAGTCAACAACGGTCAGTCCTTGATTTGCTCGAAGAATATGGGTCCATTCCACTCTCGGTAGAGATGTTTTTGGAGATGCTGCCGCCACTGCGTCCTCGAACATACTCTATATCATCAGCCCCAGATTGGAAGCCCTCGCATGCTACTCTCACGTGGTCAGTTGTCAATGCGCCATCGTGGAATGGACATGGCTCTTTCCTTGGGGTCGCATCTAATCACCTATACAATCTTTCGCCAGGGGCTGTTGTACGCGTCTCAGTGCGACATTCGAACCCTGCATTCCGCCTACCCCAAGACCCTGGCGCTTACCCTATCATCATGATTGCATCTGGGTCAGGGTTGGCGCCTTTCCGTGCCTTTCTGCAAGAGCGCGCCTTGCAAAAGAGGGCAGGCAAAGCCTTGGCACCAGCTCTGCTATTTTTTGGATGCCGCAGCAAGGATGACGACCTCTACCGGGATGAGTTAGACGAATTTGAAAGCTTGGGCATCGTACGTGTATCGCGTGCTTACAGTAAAACGCCGAAGGAAACAGAAGCCCGCGGATGCGCCTATGTCCAGGAGAGAATCCAGGCTGAAGAGGAAGAATTTAGGAAATTGTGGGATCAGGGCGCCTCTATCTTTGTCTGCGGTGGCAGTAAGATGTCTGAAGCAGTGAAAGATACGTTCATCAACATAGCGCGTAAGGGCGCTGGGAATGACGGTTTCAGAAGTCCAACAGAATGGTTCAAGGCTCTTGATACTCGTCGCTATGTTGCTGAGATCTTTAACTAATCTTCAATTCTGAAGATAAACCAAGACTTTCTATTCGTAACCGTTGACGGTAGTAGAGTGGAAATAACCCTACTTCTGCGGATTTTTGCGCTCGACCGCTGCTTAACCTTTGTTTCTCTCTGTGTGCTATACAGCGTATTAGATTAGTTATTTTAGAAAAACACACTATGCTATACCATAACCTAAATTGAAAGCTATTATGTTTAGAATAGTATAACTAGCTGAATAGTATAGCTTTTCGTAATTGAATGAGTCATTTAAAAACGTAAGAAGCTATAGTATTATTTAGATTAGGTTAGCAGTTGCTTGGTAAGCATTACTCTAGTACGAAAAAGCTCCGAAGTTTGCCTTGAAAAAAATACTATGTATTTATAATATAATATATCTTTTTATTTAGAGTAATGTGTTTCACTACTAAGCGGCGCAATCTACTAAGCGGCGCATGTTAAGGGCGAAGAGGCCTTCGAACGAGTTTGCATTAGCCTATAGTACAGAAGAAGAAAGATAAAGAGACCAAAGCTATTATACGACATATCTCTCTCTTTATACTTTTACATCTACATGCTACGTACAAGTAAGTCTTTAACTAAGCGGTGCGACGCATACACGTGATACAATCACGTGCATTCACTACCTCAGGCGTAGCCCATTACGAATATAGACTGATCTACTAATTTTCCTCGCGATAATAGCTCTTGTGGGGGCGTTTACAGCCTTATCTGTGGTGGGCTGCCACGGTTGGTGCGGGTGTTGTATTGGCCGACCTGTTGCGTGCACTGACCAGCTACAGTAAAGCACCTGCATGCTGCACTTCGGCGGACAAGCTTATCCAAGTAGACTTAGTATGCATGTGTGGCAGTAGATCGTACACATTAATACTTCCCCACGCCAGATACGAATGAGAACGCACGCTATCTGATTCACAGCTGACGCACTATATCGTGGACTGCCTTTTCAGAACTAGTGGAGCCGCTATGATCCCTGCCAAGCGCTGACTTCAATGATAAGCACTGACAAGCATCTCCTGCATTTGATATGCTCGCACTTGTACCCGGCCCCATTGGACACGACTAGAAATTTGCGATTTTATAATCCAGGCTCGTCCTGAATGTGCGAGGTCGCCGCGTTAGGTAGTTAAAGTTAATAGCATCGGGTTTAGTGCCAGCAGCAAGACGGAGCACTTTTCTAAAACTAATAGCAAGTAGGACAGCGACTGTGTGGGAGAAGCTTATGGATTTCCTGAAAGAGACCTAGTGAAAGTCGAAGCATTGTGGCATTGCAGACCCGAAGGCTTCGCGCGTTCAAGCCTCGGCTAGTCGCTTCCTAAACAGGAAGGCAGGACGCCTGCACACAGAAAGACCCACTTTCAACCGGGACTGCTTGAGCATTGTCGGCAAATCCCATGGTTTTTGAGTAGCAAATGACCACGGCTCATCCAGATATAGAACTTATCACTGCATCGCCATCTTGCCACTCGCAGGGCTTGTATGTGAGAACAGGACGAGTAGGCCCGAGTCCAGCCAATAAGCACATTGATGCTGTACTGTCTTTCCTGATTGAATTTATTGACCGATTATTAGCCTTGATGGAGTGTCGAAACCCAGACTTTGAGATTGCATCTGTTTAGTAGAGATTAGGAAGGTATCATCGAAACCTTGCTCGGGACCCTTCACATGCGGACGTCAAAGCAAGATAGTTTTTGTCGTAAGTACACTTAGAAGGCCATGGAGCACACATAAAAAGGTCAGTGGTATCCGTCGTTCAATATCTTGTCACAGCAAAACAGTTGCTCAGCTGCCCACTCCAGTCAAGTCTTTCACTTCTCCCTCTCAACCAACCTCCCTCTATTATCAACATGAAGTTTTCTATCGCCTTCATCTCAGCCACCCTCGCTGGTACAGCATTGGCTCGTCCTTCGACCCTCGCTCAGCGTGTTCAGTCTCGTGCTGATGGCTCTCGCCACCGCAGCCAGCCCCTGGTCAAGGTGGGCAGCGGCTCCAAGGAGAATGCCAAGTTCATTGCAGGATCAGACAATACCACTGCTCACGTCGAATACTCCTCCAACTGGTCGGGTGCCGTTATCGAGCAGCCCTCATCTGGCTACTTCACGTCTGCCACAGGTCGATTCACTGTTCCCACCCCCAAGTACGTTGGATCTGGCAGCGGCACTGAGTCTTCTTCTGCTTGGGTTGGTATCGATGGCGATACCTGCGCTAGCGGCCTTCTCCAGGCCGGCGTTGACTTCACCGTCTCTTCCTCCGGAGCCGTCTCTTATGATGCCTGGTATGAGTGGTACCCGAACTATGCCTTCGACTTTAGCAACTTCCCCGTCGCCGCTGGCAACGTCATCCAGGTCGACATTGTTGCCACTTCGACCACCAAGGGCACTGTCAGCCTTACTAACGTGAGCACTGGCAAGAAAGTCAGTCAGACTTTGACTGCTCCAAGCGGCTCTGTTCTGTGCCGTGAGAATGCTGAGTGGATCGTAGAGGACTTCGAGGAGAATGGCAGCCTCGTTGCTCTCAGCAACTTCGGCACTGTTGTCTTTACTCAAGCTAGCGCTGCGCTCAGCACGGGTGGAACCGACGATCTTAGCGATGCCACTATTATCGACCTCAAGCAAGGAAGCACTGTTTACACTGATGTTACTATCGATAGTAGCTCTCAGGTCAGCGTTGAGTACATCTAAACAGTACACTACTGTACAAGAAGCGAACTAAGCTTTGAAATGTTAATATTAAGAGTACAATTGGTAGTTAAGCCAGGTTAATATATCTTAAATTACACACACACACACACCAAATTCAAGTTTTTTAAAATAGGTGTAACGTTAGCCAAATATATACAAACCTATCCTAAGAAATCAATTATAACCAGTGCTAAGTCGTGCAGCCTAGGCGCTAGAGAGCTAGAGGCTAGTAAAGTAGCTAATCTAAACACCTCTCACTGTTACAAGTAACAGCAGGAAGCATCCTCTCTCGAGGTATAACGATGAATAGTTAGGAAGCCACTTAGGATCCTAAAGAACAGGATGACCATCGCGGGGCTTACGGTCACGTAATGTGCTATACTGCCAAGGCTAGCTGTTACGATCCAAGGCCAGCTGCTTATTAGTAATTAGTTTGGAGAATCTAAAGGAATAGGCCGCGCCGCAATCCTTTTATCATACCGCAGTCACGTAACTAATTATACACGATTAGATGTATCTAGCTAATTAAGGCACGATTATTAAAGATTACTTCGATAATTATATATAATTACCTTATTAGCCAATTAGAACTACGCTATCGACTTAAATATTTATAATTTACTAGCTCTAGAATTATATATAATTATATACTTTATCTTCTAAGTATATAATTTAGGTATTAAGCTCTTATAGCTTATTTATTTCACTTAAATTTTAAGGTTAAGTATAATATTAAGAGTTATTGTATTATTATTATTCCATTATAGTCCTGTATCAGCCGTTGGCTATGTAGGACTTTGGCCGACGGCCGTTCTATCTAACTAGTTACAATTTGATA